ACCAGATCAATTGTTGGCCACCCCAGCCTTGTGGTTCACTGGCTGGAGTTCCTTTGCTTTTACACAGCGCTGCTGCTTTGCCTGTAGCCCCTGTGCAAGTTTTCCATAGATATCCATGTTTCTATGGCTAGACCATAGCTGTGCTTGCACAGTATCTTCTCTCTTCAGGCCCAGGAGATCCAGTGCCTCCTGTCAACTTCAGCCAGGGGATGGCTTCCAGGCTCCATGACCCTTGGACAGTTGACAATCGTGACCAGAAGGGTCACTGTCTAGCATTGTGGGACAGCTGCTGGAGGAATGTAAGGATCAATACAGATCACACTTGCACTGTGTTGACCTCTGTAGGTCCACCATGGCTTTACGCTGTTTGGGGAGGTGGTTTTACTGCATCCCCTTAATAGGGCTGCAGACAAATTTGAGTTTAGACATGTGCACCAATAGGTTGATGCAAAGTGACTTACGTTAACCTAACTTTTTAGTATAGATCAGGTCTCTTTCCAGAAGGTAACCTGATTTTCAAAAGTGCTCAGAGCTCACAGCTCCTGATGGCTTCAGTGTATCTTCAAAACAAAACAATAGAAATTGATATGGGACCACTTATTCATTTCACATAATCCAAGCAGTGATCAAATGACGTCTTTCAGTCACTACTGATGTGGACTGGGATTCAATTGGTGATCTTACCTTTTTGGGGGGCAACCAAGGAATCTCTGAATTCTCCAATCACAGCATATTGTCCAGTTAGAACATCTTAGAGCAGTCCCAATATTGTCTCTTGATGTAACCCTTCTGCCAGGTGGAGTCAGCAGCAACAAGGGCCGGATTCAATATTGAGAGGTTCCTCTTAACAATACAAAACAGAACCGAGCCCCACCCAGTAACCTGGAAAAACTTAAAACTACCCCGGGAGTCTCTAAGAGGTAATACTCCCTCCACCCCCAATCACTGAGACTGTATCACAAAAAAATTTTAATAAAAAGGGAATAGGAACCTGGCATTAATTTGGGAAAACACCAAAAGCATAATTTGAAAGCACGTGATCTTGAGCAACAAAAGTATAATTAGGCAGGCCAAAAAAAGAATTTGAAGAGCAAGTAGCCAAAGACTCAAAAATTAACAGCAATTTAAAAAAAAACACATCACAAGCAGGAAGCCAAACAATTGTCACCAAACAATCAGTGGGGCCACTGGACGATCAAGGAGCACTCAAGGAAGACAAGGCCATTGTGGAGAAGCTAAATGAATTCTCTGCATCAGTCTTCACTGCAGAGGATGTGAGGGAGATTCTCACACCTGAGCCATTCTTTTTAGGTGACAAATCTGAGGCACTGTCCCAGATTGAGGTGTCAATAGAGATGGTTCTGGAACAAATTGATAAATTAAACAACAATAAGGCCCCAGGACCAGATGGTATTCACCCAAGAGTTTTGAAGGAACTCAGATATGAAATTGTGGCACTACTGAGTGGGGTACATAACCTATCAGCTTCTGTACCAGATGACAGGAGGCTAGCTAATGTGACACAAATTTTTAAAAAAGGCTCCAGAGATGATCCTGGCAATTACAAGCTGATAGGCCTAAGTTGAGTACCAGGCAAACTGGTTCAAAGTATAGTAAAGAACAAAATTATCAGACACATAGGTGAACACAATTTGTTGGGGAAGTGTCAACATGGCTTTTGTAAATGGAAACCATTCCTCATAAATCTATTAGAAATCTTTGAGGGGATCAACAAACACATGCACAAGGGTGATCCAGTGGTTATAGTGTACTTGGACTTTCAGAAAGCCTTTGACAAGATCCCTCACACTAAAGGCTCTTAAAATAAAGTAAGCAATCATGGGATAAGAGGGAAGGTCCTTTCATGGATCATGGTTAAAAGATAGAAAACAAAAGGTAGGAATAAATGGTCAGTTTTCAGATTGGAGATTGGTAAATAGTGGTGTCCCCCAGGGATCTGTATTGGGACAGGTGCTGTTCAACATATTCATAAATGACCCGGAAAAGGGGGTAAACAGTGAGGTGGCAAAATTTGCAGATGATACAAAATTACTTAAAATAGTTAAATCTAAAACAGACTGCAAAGACTTGCAAAGGAATCTCACAAAACTGGGTGACTGGTCAACAAAATGTGGATAAATGCACATTGGAAAACGTAATCCCAACTATACATAGAAAATGATGGGGACTAAATTAGCTGCTACCACTCAAGAAAGAGATCTTGGAGTCATTGTGGATAGTTCTCTGAAAACATCTGCTCAGTGTGCAGTGTTAGGAGCCATTAGGAAAGGGATTGATAAGACAGAAAATATCATAATGCCACTATATAAATCCATAGAACACTCACACCTTGAATACTGCATGTAGTTCTGGTTACCCCATCTCAAAAAAAGTTATATTGGAATTGGAAAAGTTACAGAGAAGGGCAACCGAAGTGATTAAGGGTGTGGAACAGCTCCCATATAAGGAAAGATTAAAAAAAAACCTAGTATTTTTCTGCTTGGAAAAGAGATGACTAAGAGGCGATATGACAGAGGTCCATAAAATCGTGACTGATGTGGAGAAAATGAATAAGGAAGTGTTATTTATTCCTTCACATAACACAAGAGCTAGGGGTCACCCAATGAAATTAATAGGCAGCAGGTTTAAAACAAACAAAAGGATGTACATCTTCACACAACACTGTCAGCCTGTGGAACTCATTGCCAGGAAATGTTCTGAAGGTCACAACTATAATGGGGTTTAAAACAGAACTAGATAAGCTCATTGAGGATAGGTCCATCACTGGCTATTACTCAAGATGATCCAGGATACAACTCTGTGCTCTGGGTGTCCCTAGCCTCTGATTGCCAGAGGCAGGGAGTGGACGACAGGGAATGGATCACTCAATGATTGCCTGTTCTGTTCATTCCCTCTGGGGCACCTGACGTTGGCCACTGTTGGAAGACAGGATACTAGATGGACCATTGGTCTGACCCAGAATGGTCATTCTTATGTACGTTTACACACCCACCCCAGAGTGCGTTGGGCCGTGTCCTTTGCTCTCACCTTGCAGTGTAAAAGTCCAACAAATGTTCCTTTAACCTGCCATTTCCCTCTCCTTCCACTGCACTTTACTCACAGTTACTGTCCTAGGTCAGTGAAGGCCCGGAATTCAGAGTTGTGTTCATGTGAGTTCACGCCCCCACACACCCCGGGGAGTGGGCGAAGGCACCAAGCAGTGCCTCAGCTGCTGCAGCCATCTCAGCAACTGACTCACAGTTGCTGCCACTCACTCTCCTGTCCTTGTTCACTCTGCCACCGCTGGCCACTGCCACCACCATTCATTCTGATGTCACATTCTGATGTTCACGACTTAACCCAGCACTCAACGATTTCAGCAGGTAGTGGGGAACCTTCCTGTGGGCTGGGTAGTCTCTTTCACCACCATACTGTCACTGTGCTCAGCACAGTGGTTATCAGTGATTTCAGCTGTAGTGATCACTTAACAAAACAAGGACTCTCAATGAGTGTAGTCAGCTCTGTCTTTAAACAGTGGAGAGGGGAAGGATCTTGAGACAGAACCCACAACACCAGGTATAAACAACCATTCCCACTCTCTCTGTTTTTCAAGTGGAATTTGGCATCCCTACCTGCTGCTTAGACAGTGAGGTTCAGTTTAGGGTGAGCCATCAATCAGGGCAACTTAAATACAGTTCTGCTGCCCTTTACTCATGCGATCAGGATAACAACATTCCATTACTCCTGCATTCAAATACTAGAGTGATTTGTAACCCAACACCAGCCCAAATTGATCATTTTGGAAGAGCAGTTCCCTCTGCTGTGTATCTAGGCAGAGTAGATGTGCCTGTGCAAATACAGTCTGTTCTTGAAGTCTTTCCCTCTAGCTCATCACAATATGTCAGCAGAGAGCTCATTCAGACCCTGCTTACATGGATAAAGTTCTAAAATTATCAGGCTGTAGCTGAGAGCTAAGATCATTTATTTAGTATGACCCTCCACACTATTAAACAGTGGTTCACATCAGATTAGGAAAAAAAAAGTGGCATTAACTTGACTAAAGTTATATTTTTGGAATAACAAACATACAATTTTATATAATGAAAGATAAAAACTACCATATTTATTAAATGGTTTTACAAACAATTACAATAATAATAATAATAATTAATTATTCCATGTTTATAAAACAGTAATCATATTGGGTAAAGTGCTGCAAAATATTTTAGATAAACAGTTTAAGACATTCTGTAATTTTCCAGTTTCTGGTTACCTGGATAGCTTGTCTAGAGACCATTAATTGCTTTCATATTAAATAAATGGAGACCACGGTATGTCTGTTCAACAGAGTGCTTAGTGATATGGGCATTCGTCTGGAATAAGTGCAAAATGAACTAAAAGCAAGTAAAATCTGTATTTTTTCATATTTAGTAACATCCTATTTATCTGTGCTCTAATAAACTAAGCTATCCCTCCTCATTGTAGACTCACTTTAAAAAAGAAACAAGCTCACTAAAGGATTAAAGGTATGCATTTATGACTATGTATATGCCCAAAAGGCTTCTATCCCCAAGTTTAAGCTTTTTGAAAGGTTCCTTTATTCTGGATTTAACATATTGTTCAAGAAACAGGAGTGACATAATTAAGGCCCCCAATTCAGCCATTCTTACTAGGGCAACAGGCCCAATGAAGTCAATAGGAATTTTATTGAGTAAGGAGGACTGAACTAGAGGAGTCCATATATACTCTTCGAACAAAAGGAGAAATCCCTTAAAGATACAATCACTATCTAGCTCAATATGTGTATATTATATTTTACAATACATTGTGTCAAAACAAGTTTTCTATGAAGCAAATATACACTTTTACACTATTTAATTTACTCTCATACTCGTATGGCTTTGTTTCTGTAATTTTATTAATTTTTGAAGGTGGCAGGACTCTTGGTAGGAAAGAACCTGTGCGAATTATTGCAAGAGTGTAAAATGTTGTAATTCTTCAGTAGCTTATTTTGTTGCTGCTGCTGAGTGCAGCAAACTTAGGATCCCTAATACGAATTCCAACTGAATGGGATCTTTTAGAAGGACAGAAAATGTTTCTTCATGCTCAACTGTCTAACTAATGCAAAGGGAATGCATAACCAGTATTTCTTAATTATTTCTGAACCAAGTACTTCTGACTTACGCTGTCTTTTTTTGAGAAAGTTCTGCAGAAAATCATGGCATGCTCAATTACTTATTATTCAGAGCTCAAAGCCTTCTTTTTTAGCTCTCACAGATGCTTGTGGGTCAATCTGATATTAATAAAGTAGGAAAGATATGCTATAATTTTATTACTACTAATAATTTTTATTAAGTCCTCTTCTTCCAATTCTGCAGTATTTGGGTCTTGAACAAACAGTTAATTATCCTTTAACTACTATAAAAACAGAAGAACAAAATATTTTAAAAAGCCAAACACAGGGTAATGAGCAATTGTGCTCCCACATTTCAGTATGTTGTATGTTCAGGTTTGTTTTGCCTTGCTTCCTTATGGACAATTCAGGACTTATTCCACACTGGAACACGTAGTCAAATTCGTTTACTTTTCTATCTTGAAACCAGAAAATGGATCATTTACAAAAAGTCTGAGCAACTCCTCCTGCAACTGCTTTTCTTCCTTGATGTAATTTGCATTTCTATAAGAGTGCCCCTATATTATATAATTTTGTAACCACAAATATTCTTCAGAAAACAATAAAGTGCACACTGTTACAATGCCACCATCGACAGTAAGCTAGCATGACTCATCATCCACTTAGAGTCTTGTTAAAGACCACCCCCTCTCCAGCCCTGCCTATCCAGTTTCTTCATGTGTTGTACCCTGTTAATCTTCTTGTTACTTGTACTATCACACAGGGAAGCATACTATTGTCAAGATGTTCTGAAAGCTTCATTGGTGACTTGTAACTTGTACTCTTCTAACTATGTAGATTGTCTTAAACATGCATTAAGGAAACAGTGTTCTTTATTCATCTGAGAAACTGAAATGGCTTTTACACTCACTAATTTCATGACCACAGCCTTTGTGTGTGTTTGTTTACTAAATGGGAATGCACAAGCTGGGAAAAAGTCATAAAAAAACTTAACAGCTAACACTGCATAAAATATATCGCTGTATTTTATATATTTTTCAGAAACTTTTATTAAATGTCAGGATGATGTAATTTTAAAAACTACATTTTGTGGCCTCTATATCCAGTTTTCACTTCTTTCAGGATGGGTTAGATAATGAAGGCACAGGCTCACTTTTGTACCGATAAAGGACAGCAAACACAGTTAATATGCATTACTGACACATAAGCACAAGCAACGATAAAGCTAGTGTCAAAAGTCTTCCATAGCTTTCCTTTACCTAAAATCTTTTTGGCAATCTGTCTAGCTTTTAAATGCCTCAGAAAGAAAAACAAATTTAAAACTGTGCTACTTTAAAACAAGTTTTTTTTCTAAATATATTCTATTAGGGAAGAAAAGCTGACCTTGCTATAAGCTTGGTTTGTACTTTCTGACGGTTCTAGATAACAACATTCACCTGTAAAATGCCAGCAAATAGGAGATCACATAAAGATTAGTGATAACAGCTGACATGGTCCCTCAACCCTGCTAACAATTTACAGCACATTAATAAAACTAGCTTTACTTCTTCCTATTAATCTTTGTTTACCTTAAATGGGCATTGCCTTTCATCTTTGTTTAAAGGTGAACCAAAAATCTTGAAAAAAAACCGGACTAAGTTACTTGTTTACGATCCCAAGCCAGTCTGAGTATGTGAGGAGTTAAAAATTACAAATAAATATTTTTAAACAAGTTCCTCCTTCACTTGTATGCCAAGAAGTTTCTGTGTTTCTTCTTTAACATCTGGCCTCACTGAACACCAGATACAGCTTAAAGAATAACTCTCTAATGACTTCAATTAGGAGTGATAGCAGCTGTCTCATGAAAAAAACAGAAACCTGACTGCAGGTACTGGCAGGTAAAAAGCCAAAAAATCTCTGTTCACCTTTAATATTCTTGGCTTCCCTATTCCAAACTAAAATTAAAAAACAAAACAACAAAGGCCTTGTTCAGTTTACATGATATTTATAATCTCAAGTGTAACATTGTTTTTGCCTTGCTTTTTATGGACATTACTGCCCAGTACCAGACTCTAGCAGAGAATACAGCAGGCGGTCAATTTAGTAGCATGCCATTTCATAACTCTACAAGCCTAAAACATCAGAGATAACTTGGAAATGTATCAGCTTATCAAAAAATTAATTTGAAAGTTTACATATGCAACACAACTTTTGTTAATTTTGATGGCATTGCACACATCCTTAAATTTGAGGTTTATGCTGAATAAAGTGTTCATGGACATCAAACATGCCACACACAATAACCATAGGGATCTAGATATTCCACTATACTAGAGGCAGATAAGATTTTGCTAATCTCACTGCATCCTATTCATAATTTCTCTTCACTGCACATATCGTTAACTGCTTTGGATGCTTGAAAACTAAGTGGAAACAAACTGAAGGTGAAGAGCATTTGGCTGAGGACCCCAAAATCTAGATTTGGCAATTTAATTTTTCCTTAAATAACAACTGACCTCTAACATTCATCAGTGACCAAAGAGTGGCTAGATACTTCATTTCCATGCTACTACATTGAGGCACAACTATCAGAAACATTAAACTATCAGGGTCAGCTGATATGTATCCAATTAATTCACTCTGTGTAAGGGAAATTATTACAACACATCTGAAGTAATAGTTAAAGCTTACAGCTGAGCATTTTCCTTTTTTTTGCATTTGATTTTTTGTTTCACTACGTTACTAGCTCCAATTTCCAGGTTAATGACCTCCAAGCAGATTTGAAAGGAAGCCTGAAGATTTCTTTTTTTCCTGTGGCTTTTCTTTTTGGCCTTGTGTAAGCCCCAGTTCACTCTCAATCTGCTCAAGCTCTGATTGGTCAAGCAGTTCAAAATCATCAGCTTCTTCCGTGTCTGTCTCCTCACTCAAACTGGGGACTACCTGTGAGGGTGCTCGTTGTGTGGACTGCAACTGGTCTTTGATGGCGGCAGACACTGCAGCTGCAATAACATCACCAGCAATATCACTCACTAAGTTAAAGGTTTGGTCACTGGTCAAAGGAAGGGAGAGGCCTGTGGCAGACTGCCTCTCTTTCCTCTGTCTGGGAGAATGAGCCATCTTGGAAGGCATCTGTTCCTTTTTTCTCTTCTGATGGATGGGAATGCCAATGCTCGAGTCATCATCGTCATTTGTTCCTGCGCCATTTTCTAGAGAGGGAAATTCTGCAAGATCTCTGGCAAAAGCTTCTTCATGATCACTAGGTCGGTCAAAATCTATTAAGTGATTAACAATTGAAAATACTGTTAGCAAACAAGAGAGAATGAAAGAACACAAATAATTATTATTAGTAAAGTTTATTCCCTACCACAATTTTGTGATTTAACAAGGAGAGCTTTCTGGCACCATTCAAATTAGATGTTTCTCAGATTATATAATCAGTATTTCAAAGCTGCGAACATCATTGTTGCTCAAAATCGGACTATATTACTTCAGTGAGAAAACATTAATAATTTAATGGGAGAATGTCAGGTTAAAAGTAAATATTAAAAGCTTCCTTAGATTATTAAAAATGTAAAAATTAATTTCCTTTTTACCATTTACACTGTTTACATTTTACATTTCACTAGGCCTACAAAATGAAAACTGCCTGGTGAAACTCATCTTGCAGTCCTCAGGCCTGAGCACCATGCTGATAGGCGTTGGTTGTAAAATCTGCTTGGGAATTTCTGAATTCATTAAGAAATCTCTTTTCATTAAGGTATGAAAAAATATCATGAAAACATTTTTGTTAATATCAAAGTTGTACGTAAAACATCCCCCACAAATTTTGAACACAAAACCTTAGCAAAACTGACCAGTGTAATTTCATTTTTAATGGTTAAAAGTAAATTGGATTTTAATAGTTTTGTTTTTAATAATCCAAAGTGTTATTAGTAACATGAGGAATTTAAAAAAAAAATAAAACTTCACAGTGTGCCTTTACAACCTGATACTAGAGTCCTTACTCTATTAAAACACCAACTGACCGTAGGCTTGTAAACCAGGCCTTAAGAAAGTGAATTAAGGAGACTATATATGAAAAGAATCTTTGTTCTAATGTGCACTGAGGATATAAAAAAAATTAATCTGATTGAATTTATTTTGTTTCATAAGAACAAGTGATGAGGCATTTTGATAAAGGCTAACAGATATAAAAGCCCTGAAGTTTAAATGAATCATACTTATTTATCATTAACTTATATTTTTTCACCAAATACTGCTGTTTGATTACAACTTGTGATAGCTACTTTAAAAAAAGAAAGAATTAAATGACACTGATTTGGTATTTATAACTATCCTGCAATACTATCCTACTTGTAATTTTAAATAACCTCCAGCTTAGAAAAATACAGGACCTGCAGAATAGCAGAACCACTAACTGAACAGATTACATCAAGACTACTGTAGGGACACCAGATACAGTATATACAATATCAATGACATTTACAATACTATGGTCTTTCTCTCGATCTATCTAGCTGAAAGTTCTCCATAACTTATTCAGAGGGCCAGATCCTGAATTCCTTACTTTGTTTCTATTCAGTCCTCACTCAGGCAAGTTCCCGTTGGGAGATTGGTTGAGTAAAAACAGAGTAAGGATCTCATGATCTGGCCTTGAAAAAGGCATCCTTGAGTATCTCCTTCTAGCATATGAGCCTCTCCATCCAATCCTGGCTCAATGGTGCCCATCTCCCCCAAGCTTCTATTATTTGGAGCCCATTAATGCTTTTCTTTAATTGGCTGCTGGAGTGGTTACCGAACATGTCAGGATATGCTCTTCCTCTTCCTTCCTTTATATCCACATGGTACACACACACCAAAGAGCAAGAGGAGGTTACTCACCCTGTGCAGTAACTGACGTTCTTCGAGATGAGTGTCCCTGTGGGTGCTCCACTCTAGGTGTTGGTGCGTACCTGCGCCTTCACTCGGAGACTTTTCGTAGCAGTACTCGTACTGGCCACACATGCGCAGAGGCTGCCCCCCGCAGTGAGTCTAGGATAATAGTGTGCATGCGTGGCCAATCTCCTCAGTTCCTTCTCTACAACGGAGGCTACCCCAAC